CCAGGTGCGCCACGTTAGGGGCACGTGAAAAATTCGCCAGGTGCGCCTGCGCGCGTGACAGCACACATCAGAAAGAGCGTGTTCTACCGCTGCTGGCGGAAAGCCGGGGGGGGTCACTACCGGTTCGAACCCCCCCCCCCCCCCACCGGAAAACCGGGGGGGGTCACTACCGGTTCGAACCCCTCCCCCCCCCCCCAGCTCATCATGAAAGGGGGGGGGGTCACTACCGGTTCGAACCCCCCCCCCTCGAAAACCTAGTGGGGGTGCGGACAGTGGTGGGGACGGTGTTGGTGGGGACAGTGGCGAGGGGACAGCGGGACAGTGGTGGGGACAGCGGGGGGACAGTGGGACAGCGGTGGGGACGGTAGTGGTGGGGACAGTGGTGGGGACAATGGTGGGAACAGGTGGGACAGTGGACAGTGGTGGGAACGGTGGTGGTGGGGACAGTGGTGTGGGGACAGTGGGAATGAGGTGGAAACACTGGGACAGTGGAGGGTACAATGGTGGTGGGGACACTGGTAAAGGCGTCGGCGAGCACGGCGGTGGGACAATGGGACAGAGGTACAGTGGGGACAGTGGTGGTGACAATGGAGACAGTGGTGGGAACAGTGGGACAGCTCAGTGGGACAGCGGAGGAGTCAGTGGGAAAGTGGGGACAGTGGGGATAGGCAGTGGTTGGGTCCGTGGAGACAGTGGGGAGAGTGGAACCGTGGTGGGAACAGTTGTGGGAACAGTGGGGACAGTGCGACAGTGGTGGGGGCACTGGTGGGGACAATAGGGACGGTGGTGGAACCAGCGGGGGCAGTGGTGGTGAGGACAGTGGTGCTGGGAACAACAGTGGGGGATGTCATGCGAGCGGTGGTAGGGACCGGGAGTCGTTTGCTGGCGGTGCGTGGGGGGGGGGGGTCGAACCGGTAGTGACCGTCCGGTTTTCGAGAGGGGGGGGGGGTCCAACCGGTAGTGACCCCCCCCGGTTTTCCGGATCCGGAGAGGGGGGGGGGGAGGGGTTCGAACCGTTAGTGACCCCCCTCGGTTTTTCGAGGGGGGGGGGGGGGGGGGAGGGGGGGAAGGGTTAGGGGAGGGGGGGGGTTTTGCCGGGGAGGAGGGGGGGGGGAGGGTTCCGCAGGGGGGGGGGGGATTTTCGGAGGGGGGGGAGACCCCCGGGTTCCGGAGGAAAAGGTTGGCAATTTTCCACAGTAAAGCGGCGGTGGATCACGCTCTCTCACACATCAGGAAACATGTCGGCCCCTGCCAACCTTGTCGAAAGCCGATGCCCATCAATGTGTCTGGCGGGGTTGCGAACAGCAGGCCACGCGCCACCACCCCCGCCGTCCCTGTCAGAAACCAGTTGACAGTGATCGCGGGGTGGCCGCGCACGATCCAAATATAGCCGCGAGGTGCATGCTGTACTGTTCCCCACCAGTTTGTGGCGTTGGGTCTTCGGTTTGAAGAAACAGCGCCCCGCGTCTCCTCTCCTCCTCCTCCTCCTCCTCCTCCTCCTCCTCCTCCTCCTCCTCCTCTTCCTCCTCCCCCTCCTCCCTCCTCCCTGCGTTTCACCCACCCAATACAGCGCTTCGCGGCCCCATAGCGAACCCTACCGAAGGTCGTCCGCATGCGTCCTGCACACCCACTACAGCGTTTCGCGGCCCCTCCTCCCTCCTCCCTGCGTTTCACCCACCCAGTACAGCGCTTCGTGGCCCCCATCAGGAGCCCCACCGAAAGTCCCAGTGCTGCCGTCCGCATGCGCCCCACACACCCAGCACAGCGTTTCGCGGCCCCTCCTCCCTCCCCGTGCATTTAACCCACACCGAAGGTCCCAGTGCTACCGTCCGCATGTGTCCCGCACAGCCACTACAGCGTTTCGTGGCCCCGTCCTCCCTCCTCCCTGCGTCTCCCCCGCCCAATACATTGCTTCGTGGCCCCATAGGGAGCCCCACCGAAGGTCCCAGTGCTGCCGCCCGTATGCGTCCCGCACACCCAGTACACCGTTTCGTGGTCCTTGTCCCCCTCCACCCTGCGTTTCACGCACCCAGTGCAGTGTTTCGTGGTCCCATACGGAGCCCCACCGAAGGTCCCAGTGCTGCCGCCCGCATGCGTCCCGCATGCCCATTACAGCGCTTCGTGGCCCCACAGGAAGCTCCACCGAAACCACCAGTGGGACCGTCCGCGTGCGTCCCGAAACATATAATTCTGCATTTTCGCCCACCCAGTACAGCGTCTCGTGGCCCCGTGGGGACCTCCACCGAAGGCCCCAGTGCTGCCGTCCGCATACGTTCCGAAAGCACAATGTGGCATTTTCACCCACCTAGTACAACGTTTCGTGGCCCCATAGGGAGCCCCACCGAAACCACCAGTGGGACTGTCTGCAAGCGCTCCGAAACACCCAATGTGGCATTGTCACTCACCCAGTACGGCGTTTCTGGCCTTTTTGGGAGCTCCACCGAAGGCTTCAGTGCAACCGTCGGCATGCGTCCCGAAAACCCAATGCGGCATGTTCACCCGCCCGGTACAGCGCTTCGTGGCCCCATAGGGAGCCCCACCGAAGGCCCAAGTGGGACGGTCCGCAAGCGTTCCGAAACACCCTAAGTGCCATTTTCACTTACCCAGTACATCGTTTCGTGGCCTTTTTGGGAGCTCCACCGAAGGCTTCAATGCCACCGTCGGCATGCGCCCCGAAAGCCCAAAGCAGCATTTTCACCCGCCCAGTACAGCGTCTCGTGGCTCCGTAGGGAGCTCCACCGAAGCGCCCAGTGGGACCGTCCGCGTGCGTCCGGAAACTTAATTTGGTATTTCTTCCCACCCAGTACAGCGCTTCGTGGCCCCATGGGGAACTCCACCGAAGGCCCCAGTGCCACCGTCCGCATGCGTCCCCGGAGCCCGATGTGGCATTGTCACACACACACACACACACTCATTACAGCGTTTCGTGGCCCCATAGGAAGCTCCATCGAAGCGCCCAGTGGGACCGTCCGCATGCGTCCCGGAAGCCCAATTTGGCACACCACCCGCTCAGTAATTACAGCGTTCCCCCCACCCACTGCAGCGCTTCGTTGCCCCATAGGGAGCTTCATGGTTGGGTCCTTCGCCAGGATAATTTTTTGTGTTAGCATGATAGCCCTGCGCACAGCATGAAATATGGTGATACCCCCGCCGTCCCTGACAAAAACAACAACGTGCTCGCGGGCTTCACGAACATGACTCAAGACGTTGTCCCAAGGTGTAATTTGCATTGTGCGTTCAAGGGTGATGTGGGTTGCCGCATCGGGTTGGCCGCGCACGCACCAAATACGGAGGCAGAGTGCGCTTTGTACTGCTCCCAACCATCCTGTGGTGTTGGGTCCTCGATTTGAAGAAACGGTCCTCGCGTTTCCTCCTCCCGTGCCCCCCCCCCCCCCCAGTGCGGGTCCCACATGCGCCCGCCACACCCCGTACAGCGCTTCGTGGCCCCATAGGGAGCCCCACGTTAGGCCCAACCGGGGGTCCCATGCGCCCGCCACACCCAGTACAGCGCTTCGTGGCCCCATAGGGAGCTCCACATAATGCCCCAGTGGGGGTACCACATGCGTCCGCCATACCCAGTACAGCGCTTCGTGGCCCCATAGGGAGCCCCACCCAAGGCCTCTGTGGGGGTGGCCACATGCGTCCGCCACACCCAGTACAGCGTTTCGTGGCCGCAGTCGCTCCCGCATGGGTTTTGCAAACCAAGTTGCGGGTGGGTGGATGGGATGATTGCGCGAGCAGTGGATTTGACAATTTCAAATTCGGCAAGCGACTGCCCCAACAGACACTGATCCACCAAGATTGCATAAGATATATTGCCACAGACATTGTTGGGGGTCCACGTTGGCGAACAGTGTCAGTATTGTGAAGGCCTAGCGGCCGGTGCTGCCGAACCTGAAGGCTGGACCTGGACAGGGACCCCCGCTGGCGCCCCCCCCCGGGAACCGCTGAGACCTCAAGGGGTGTGGCATTCTGACCTGGTACCATCCACCCCCACCACAGGCGGGACCTCCCCCAAGACCCCTTCTGGTGAACGCCCTTATGAAGAGGTGGCCCCCTTGTTTCCCTGTCCGCAGACGGGACCCCCCCTGGGACCGGCCAGGCCCCAGGGGGGGCGGTAATCTGACCATGCGCCTGCACCCCTCTTAACCCCCTTCCCGTCAGGGAGGGTAGACATGGGGAGGAAGTCGACTTAACTACGACGTTTATTTTCTCTTGGGATTGGCGACGAGGACGAAGACGACGACAGCGTCTCACACACGCCGAAAGGTCGGACGATTAGTTTTCCTCCCTCGTCCCCCCCCCATCCTTCATCCCCCCATGCGCGGGAGCGCGCGCAAGAGGGGAGATAAGGTCGGGAGGGGGAGAGGGGATGGGAGGAGTGTTCTTGCTGGCCGCGCGGCAGTCAGAGTCGATGGCTCACATGTACACGTTGCCTGGAAAGCGTGGTGTACCATCTGCATGAGGAAACGCGAACCCCAACGCGGCCAACAAAGCCACGCTTCACCGGCGCTGCCGCGCGGCTCCTAGCATCGGCCAGTACACAAGAACATTGCGCGCTACCTAGCACCGACGCCCTACCGATCGGCGTGGGAACTTACGCCAGCGATAAGTCAACGCTACGGGGAGATTGGAGGAGAAGAAGGAGGAGGAGGAGGAGGAGAAGAAGGAGGAGAAGAAGGAGGAGGAAGAGAGAAAAAACAGGAGGAGGAGGAGGAGAAGAAAAAGGAGGAGCAAGAGGAGGAGGACAGGGGGCCAGGCTTACCGTTCTTGCGACCTGCGGCGGTGCACGTTGCGGTCGGTGGCAGACATCATGGTGCTCGCGGATGCTCGCAGGAAAAGGAGGAGGAGAGCAGTGAGGAAGGGGGAGAAGGAGGGTGTGGCGTTGCAGCAGTAGCGTGGCAGTCAACGCATGCTCAACTGTGCTTTTGAACATGGGAACAACGACGGCGGCGGCCGATTGCCCCCCCGCCCCACCCCCCCACCCCCTTCCCCGCCAGAGAGGTCGGCGAGCGGCTGCCGACGTTCCCCGAGGGCATGAGCACGGACGGTTTTCCCAAAGGCGCGGTGGCGATGATCATGATGATCACAATGATGACGATCTCGATGATGTTTATGATGATGGTGGTGATGAAGATGATGGTAATGATGATGTTGATGATGATGATGATGTTGATGATGATGATTATAACGATGGTGGTGATGAAGCTGATGATGATGATGATGATGATGATGATGATGATGACGATGACGATGATGGTGATGATGATGACGATGATAATGTTGATGATGATGATGCTGTTGATGTTGATGATGATGGAGATGGTCATGGTGTTGATGTTGATGACGGTGATGATGGTGGTGGTGATGATGATGATGATGGTGATGATGTTGGGTATGTTGATCGTGAAGCTGATTGAAATTCTGATGGCGGCGATGGCGGTGGCGATGAGCGAGCGAGCGAGCGACCTCGGCAGTAGTTCGGCGCCAGCGCATGGGAGCACGGGCCTGGGAAGATGGGCGCTTGAAAGCGTCTTATGTTGTTGGTACAGTTCAAGGCGGGCAGTAGGGTGCTTGAGGGAACCCGCTGGGGCCTGTGAAGCCTTGTGACCCTCGTCGGCCCTGGCCGTCTCAAACCTCCGAATTGTCACACAACGAGAGGGCGCAACATTGGGCTCAACCCTCCCAACCTGCAAGCATTACAAGTAGCGCACGTTGTGGCGATGAGGAGGAGGAGGAGGAGGAGGAGGAGCAGAAGGAGGTTGACACCGACGATGATGACTATGATGATGATGCTGATGATGATGTGTATGATGATGACGATGATGATGATGATGATGATGATGCTGATGCTGATGATGATGATGATGATGATGATGGTGATGATGACGGTGATGATGACGGTGATGATGATGATGATGTTGGTGATGATGATGATGATGATGATGATGATGATGATGATGATGATGGAAAAGACGATGTTGTTGATGAGGATGATGGCGATGGCGATGATGACGATGTTGATGGTGATGATGATGGTGATGGCGATGATGGTGATGATGAGGGTGGTGGTAATGATGATGGTGGTGCTGGTGACGGTGATTGTGATGATGACGGTGGTGATGGTGGTGGTGATTGTGACGGTGTGTGGGTGGTGATGATGAGGGTGATGTTGATGATGATGGTGGTGGCGATGGTGACGGTGATATTGACGGTGGTGGTGATGGTGATGATGGATATGGCCATGGTGTTGATGTTGATGACGGTGATGATGATGATGATGATGATGATGATGTTGATGATGGTGATGATGATGGTGGTGTTGGTGGTGATGGTGATTGTGATGATGGTGATGGTGTATTGTGATGTTGATGGTGATGGCGATGATAGTGATGGTGATGATGATTGTGATGTTGATGGTGATTGTGAGGATGCTGGTGATGTTGGTGGTGATTGTGATGGTGATGCTGATGATGATGTTCGTGGTGATGATGTTGCTGATGAAGAAAACGGTAACGATGGCGATGTTGATGACGATAACGACGACGATGATTGTGATGGTAATGTTGATTGTAGTGGTTTTGTTTGTGGGGATGGTAATGGAGGCGATGGTCATGTTGACGCTGAAGACGATTGTGGTGGCGATGATTGGGATGGTAGTGGTGATGGAGATGATGACGGAGATGATCGTGAGGAGGAGGTTGGGGATGAGGTTTTGACGAGGATGCTTATGAACTGGTGATGGTGATGGTGGTGATGGTGATGGTGTTGGTTATGTTGATGGTGGTGATGATGATGCTGACTGTCAGGTGCCATTGAGCGAATCAGGACCGCTGTTCGATTTACTTGCGACGGAGTTCGACATGCAATGGGCCACGTGGGCGACGGAAAGGAATGCGCGGGCGACAAGGAGCCCCAGGACCTAGGGGGCGCCAGCTGCAAATGTCTCGAGCCGAGCCCAGCGGGCGCCAGACACGCCGCGAACCACGGAGAGGAAGCGGAGGGAGACAGAATCGGGCGGGTGGTAATGTGGGGTGGCCTAAATGAGGGGGGGGAGAGAGAACGGCCCTGTTACTACGCCGTTGCAGCAGTTCGTCACGTTTCAAGGGGGCGTCCAGATGACACAGGTTTCGTCCGTTACTTCCGCGCAAGCGGGCGGGCGATAGCTGACCCCTGTCCCGACCGCGCCAAGCTGCCCCCTTTTTCCTCTGGAATCCTAGCTGGCTGGGCAAGGAGCGGCCGGATGAGGATCAGGGATTTCTAATCCGGGTGTTCCTCCCACTAACGAGAACATTGCCACGCAGCGCTCACAGCGCAGCCGAGAGGTAGCTCCATGAAGCGAAATGCCGCGGCAGTGCGCCGTTGGCCTCGGAGTCATCGCCCAGTAGGCCTCCGACCGCGGACCTTGCCAGCAAAGATGCGCCAGGTCACACTCGGACACGGCAGGCCGTTGCCCGCGCGCCCACGAACGGCTTCATCACTTTCGCGGCGGCGGGCTCTTGAAGCGCACTCGGCCGCGAGCGTCAGTCGCGGGCGGGGCTGGCGCCCAGCTCGCGCCGAGCCCCGCCGGGTGGAGGCCCCACGCGAGGCGTGCTCGGTGCCACCGTCGCCCGCGCGTCGTACTGCTGCGCGGTGCAGGCCGCCGTGGGCCCCGGCATGCGGGCGGTCGGCGGTCCAGGCTCCGCAGCTGTTGCGGGGAGCTTCGGGCCCGCCCGCCGGGGCACGCGGCCGGGAACCAGCTCGGGGCCTAAGAGACGGGGGTCAGTGCCAACGGGGGTCAGCCACAGCGCCAGATCCTGTAGGATCTTGCGAAGGCCCCCTCTGGCTGACCCGGGTTAGCGAGCCGCTCGCGGCGGCGAGGCGACCGCGTATATTGGCTGACCCGGGTTTGCGAAGACCTGCGTTGCAGTTGTTTTTTCTTGCACTGCAGTTTTTGGTTTCTTGCTGACCCGGGTCTGGATTGACCCGGGTCAGAAGATCCCCGACCAGCGGGCGGGACCACCACGGCGGCCGCGGCAAGGGCGAAGACATGCTGGGAGAGCTCGTCCGCCGAACCGCCTGCGCACACACAGAGGGCCAGCGGGTTGCCAATCAGATCGGGATGGCAGCTTGCCAAAGCAACTCGGCCAACTCTCCAAATCAACTCGGCAGTTCCACTCTGGTAGCCATCTCAGCTGATAATAGCCCGTCCCAGGGTAGGTCAATGGTGTTGGTAGAGTGGTTTGGTAGAGTCTAGTGGGTTTCGAGCCTTCTTTAGTCCTGGCCCCCCAGGCACACCCACACCAGTTGCGATACTTTTTGAGGAGGGCAATTCGCGGCCTCTTACGCCCATCCGTGGGTTTCGTTGGGTGTCCTTTCGGGGTCTTGAGGCCATCAAGGGTACCTTGGGGACCGCAGTCAGGAGGGTCATGGGGGCGTCTTCAGGGAGTCCTGAGGCCAGTGTTGGGGAAATTAGTGCCATGAGCAGCCGTGAGACCGACCAGGTTCCCGTTGCCCCTCGACCCCTCGCAACGCCGAGGACACACCCTGGCCAGGCCCGACGAGCGTTTCCGGGGAGAAGAATAACCTCGGCGGACGCGGGAACGTCAACCCGAGACGAAGGCCCGCCGAAAGCGCCGATGTTTGCAGCAGTTGGTGCTCATTGTAATCCAGACCCAGCGCCGCCGCCGGGCCTTGGGCCCATACCCTATGGTTGCTGACTCCTGAGCAAGCGTGCCCGCGCGTGCATTGCGGGACAGGGCCCGACTGACTCCCCCACTTGACTCCCCCGAATGATTCCATTTACTCCCCCGACTAACTCCCTTCCTCTCCCGATCCCCCCCGACGGATTAACTCCACTTACTAATTCCATCCCTCTACGCTGCCCCAGCAAACTTCTGCGGCGTCCCTGGGACCGCGTAAGACTAGGGGCTTCCCCTCGCTGACGATATGAGCCACTATGAACACAGCAGAAATTGCGTGCCCCGAACCAGCCCACGCGCGTGCGGCTTGGCGTGGGTCTTGTGAGCGGAGCCCATCGTTCTGATAAGGTATCGTGGCCTTGGAGATGATGATGACGATGATGATGTTGATGTTGATGCTGCTGTTGCTGTTGCTGTTTCCCCTGATGATGACGAAGACGACGACGATGATGCTGATGCTGATGATGATGATAATGATGATTATGATGATGGTGTTGCACGCACTGTCAGACGGGCGCCCCTCCAGCCAGCCAATACATGTCCGTCATGGACTGGTCCGTAGCCGTCTTGGCTCAAGCAAACTGATGGGTTCTGCAGCGGCAGCTCAAGTCAAAGGGCCGCCGACAAATGAGCAGCTTGATGCGTTGCGCAAGGCATGGCCAGTCGGATCTATTTGTTCGATAACGGGCTTGCAGAATGGATCCGCGCAGCAGCTCAATGGAAAACTCGCAGAGGTCCGTGCGCTGGACGAACAAACTGGGCGTATGTGTTTGCGATTGCACCCCAAGGATGCAGCCTCGAAGTGGAAAAAGGTCCGCCCATTGAACATGCGCAACGCTATGATTGAGGTCGCAGCCACTGGAGCGGAGTGCAGCTTTTGCTTGTGTAGCGGGGACGAGGCGGTGGTCAGACCTTGTTTGTGTCGCGGTTCCAGCGCAGGTGTCCATCTGTCTTGCCTTATAGACGCGTACGAAGCCAGAGCGCAGAATGTAATGAGCTACCCGTCTTGTCCAACGTGTAAGCGCCATTATTCTGGCAGCCTCGCGTTGATGATCCTTCATCCCAGACACGAGGCTCTACAAGAAATGCTGCGACCTGGGAAGCAGGTGACAATTGGGGGCCTTGTGAATGCCGCTGAATTGAATGGCTTGACCGCTGACCTCTTGGAGCACGACAGCTGCACTGGCCGCTGGAAGGTTCGATTAAGAAGCGGTGAAGTCAAAGCTGTGCGAAGTGATAATATTCTCCGAGAAGGGTCTGAACAAGAACTAGTTGAAGAAGTAAATTTGCTGAGGTGTTTTGGCATTGCTTATAGCTCGGCAAGTGAACCGTCGAATGCCGTCGGATATCTGGAGAGGGCTCTGCTTATCGAGGAAAAGCT